CGTCGGTGAGGATGGATTTTACCAAGATGTCCAGCGAGGTAAGAGCTCCCGTTCTTTGCTCTTCCATTGTAAGCTAGAATCTTAGACTTTCGCCCACTGCAAAACTACCAGAGTTTGAGATGCTGAGTTGTATTCACAGGCTTTATTTTAGTTTCTGATTTTACGAGAAGAGTCCGGTCCTCCGCGCTAATTTCCTGGCAAATGTTTAACTTTAACATGGAGGTTCAGGAATACGGCTGAAAAGGTGGCTTCGTTCCATATACGCAGAGCGTTTCTCTCAAAAACGGTTCTAATGCCCGTATGTAGCGAGGAGATGTGCAGCCTCCTCTTGGCAGTATACGTATGTATTTCCTGGTATTACCTGTCCTCATGTACTACATCTGGATGTAGAAGTGTGACTTGCCATGAAAAAGAATGATCTCTTCTGTTTGTTCCCTTACTATGTGCATCCTTAAAACAGAGGTTTACAGCTATCAGATTCCTTTTGCTTGCTGACATGGTCTGGCTTCTATGTGTATTTCTAATTTCAAGAGACTTCTGTGTATACCTTTTAGTGTGGCCTAATAGACTTGGCTTTGTCCCATGAAAACTGAAGTTCTCTCGGATGGGCAAATCTGCTCACCTTCCCAAACCTCTGGGTTTCCCATGTGTGAAGTGGCCATAGTGCTACTGTATCTGGGAAGGATGGTTGTGAGGATTTGCTGGTGCTTGTTTTGAGAAGTCATGTGTTATCCTGATAATGTCATTACAGTAAAAGAGCTGTGTCCTAAGCAGTTGGGTATAATAATCAAGTTAGTGAATCTGAATACAAGCTGAAATGAAACATAGAAGGGAAGGATAGTTCCCTTTTTTCATGGATCTACAAGCCAAAGCAGCCTGACTTCAGTCCGATTATGGAGGACTGAATTTAGACAAATTCTTTTGTAATAGGAAAACCTAAAATCTTTGCTCAATCCTTTCACACTGACATTAGACAAATCTGCTCTGGTATCTGATCTCCAGTTGGCTAACACAACAGTAAAGGCTCTTATTCTGTGTATGCCTAATAACAGTAAGTTCTTGTGTGGGCTTTAAATAAGAAAATAAAGCTCCCTGTTACAGGTTTTGGAGGTTATCGCTAAATGTGAACGCTTTCTTCTCAGAAGTCTGTGTTCCTACAACTCCTCCTGAAAGTGATAGGAAGTCATCATGCCGCTTCTCTGGAGATCAGTCCCTGTTTCAAAAGCGCCAGAGATCAACGTATTGGCCAAACCTACTATAGGGCTGTATGAAGTTTGACACTTGCATGGATACTTGTGTCGCCTTAAGACGTTGTCAGTCCTATGATTTAAGTGTGCTATATGCCAACTAATGAGGGTCTACTACAGTTGAAAGTAGTGTTGCTCTGTGCAACAAAATGTTCTGATTAAAAATCTGAGTTAATTAGCCTTGTGCTTCAGTCTAGGAAGCTTGGAGGAGGGGCAGTAAAGTAAAATGTTAAAGTGCTTAAACTGCTGCAGAACTGAAGGGCAATGTCATCCTTATGTTGCTAGCTAGAAAAGCTGCTGGTGGTCTCTGTGCCGTGCAGCCTGGACCTATGCCTGGCAGCTTGAGAGAGAACCTCCTTTTTGGTTATAGGAGGGGTACTAAAGATGTCTGCTTTTTCCGACTGAGTGGATCAGCAATGGGCACACAGGAAGATAACACCAGATCCTCTCTACTGTCCTCGAGCTGGCAGGAGTTGAGAGGAGGGAGGTTTGCCTGTGACAGTGGTTTGCATATAGCTAGCCAAAGTCTGCTGGAGAACGTACCAAGGAAGATCTGCAGACAGTAGTTGTGTCAGACTTTTTCCTGTCCTCTCAGCAGTTTTGCTTAGAGGTATTGGCTTCTTGTGAAGTGGATATAGTCAGACCTTGTTTCCTGAATGTACGAGTATGTCTCCTGTTCCTATGCTGTCTAAACTGCTATTGCTTTAAACCTTTGAATTAAGCATTGATTTAAACCTTGGATTAAGCATTTGAATGCTTTTGTTTCCTGCATCCCTGACTTGCACTTGGGCTTAAGCATCTAATATTATTGTCACAGTTTGCAATGGCTTTTCGTTACAAAAGGAAAACAACGCGCTTCGTTATAGCCCTCAAGTTTTATAGAGCTCTTAACAGGCAGTTCCTCGGAGGGGAGCTCCTTAGAGCAGAGGAGCAGGTACGTTGTATCTGCCTGGTCATTCACATCTAACAGGCACAGCAAGAAATCCTGAAATTTCACTCCTCCTCTTTCTCTGTGTGTGACTCCCTGCTGTGGTGGTGGTAGCAGCAGAAATGAGGGACCTGCTGCCTTACTCTTCTGACTGCTGTCTCCCAGCAGTCCTCTGCAGGGTGACGTGGGCACCAGTTCTCCTGCACTAGTCTTGCCATAGGAAGCATCATTAAGAAAGATGGCATGTAGGGACTTGATTTTTTGCACCTATGATCTCTGATGTTTTCCTGTGTTGCTGAGGGTTAGAAGGCAGGTGGATCTGGCAGGGACTGAGCGTTTTGCTTGAAGCACTGAATCTTGGGGCTTGAAGAATTGCAGGTTGTGTCAGAAACTCCTGCGTAGCATGGCTGCAGTCTCAAGATGCTAGGTGAGACTTGAGCATGACCAAATGAGTGAATAAACCTTCTGATATCGTTGGCCATGTTTCAACCAGGTTAAACTGCTCCTATAGTTTGGCATAAGAATGCATTACAAACAGCTATCGAAAGAGATGTGTTTTTTTTTTTTCCTCTAGTCTGGTAATCCAAACAGCACTTTTATTTCTTTTTCTCTTCATGATATAACTACTCATAACCTGAAATGGAAGTAATACAATTCTTAAAGGTTATAGCACACTTCATTTATAATTTTGTTACTCCTTTGTATTTTGTTTCACTCCTTTAATACTTGTATTATTTAATGTCTGGGATCATATACTGTACTCTGCACAAAACGTACTCTGACCTGCATTAATGCAAGTCCCTGAAGAAATGTCTCCATCGTTTCTGCCATCACGGTATTTCTTAAGCAAATACCCAAGAAAACTGATTGGATCTGAGCCTTAGTCTTGCACCTTTTGTGCAGCTTCGCATGTATGTTTTGGATGGATCTAAGTCAACACAATAACACTGTTAGCAATTTATGTGGAAGTAAATGATATGGCGTTACAACTAAATGTAGAATTGGAGGCTTTACCTTCTGCTCCGCAAGCTGATAAAACCAGGCTATCAGTTCCCAGTTGGCCCAACAATTCAAAGTTCAGAGCTCTGCTTGGCTGTGAGTGCTCAGCCTGTTGTTCTTCTTGGGAAAATACTTTACTGTATTCCCCAAACTGGTACAAACGGAAGTTCCCAGAAGGACTTGGAGAAGTTAGGTCTTCTGTAAAACGTGCAGTGCCATACGTTGTTGGAATCGGTCTGATGCAACAGCGTGGAGTATTGGAGTACTTTTTGGCACGATGAGACCAACTTCTTTGGCAGTGACTCAAAAATACAGTGGTGAAGTTAGTTTGTTACCTTCATTAAATAGTCTTGCATTCCCAGCTTCTCATCTCTATGGAAACCATATAAATATGTTTCACAGTTGAAACTGCAATTGATTTAAAATAGCCTATAACTATGTAACTAATAGTGAATGCCCCTTGGCTTCGCAACAGATGAAAATAATTTCCCTACTAGTCGGCATAACAATAAAATGGTGACCTTGAAGTGCCTGTATTTTATGGAGTAGACTCTCCACTGTGAGAACAAGCAACACATGTTTTCCTTGAAACTGTGACTGCCTACATCAAATGACTCAATGTAAATCATCAATGCGGTTTTCAAACAAGTGGTGTTACTTTTTATGTGGATCACTTAGCCTTTTTGAGTTAATAATATATGCATTTCCTGTCTCTATCAAGCAAATTAAAATGTACCCATTGATCGAAAAGTCCCCAAGGTAGACCGTGATTCACCGTTATAGCTAGACTATAGGCTACATTAGTAGAATAGATACCTCCCTGATCTTGACATGTGGATTGGTGAGCGTTACCAGCCTCTGAACTAATTGCCTAAATGTGGCTCTACTCTCTGTTTCAGGGCTTTGCGCTCTTTCTTTCCTTTTTGGTGAACGTTTTCGGAATAGCCAGCTGGAAAGTGCTGTGTTTGAGGCAGCTGTGGGATGCCTTTGTTACAGTGACTGTACGTTTTCTTTAATGTTGAAAAGGAGTATATGAAGAGCAGTGGTGACTGCAAAGGTCTTTTTGTTGTTGTTCTTGCAGCTTATCTATATTTAGCTTTAAACCAGACAAGTCTCTCATCTTCCAAAGCCTAAGGGGCTACCGATATTTGAGTTTGCTGCTTTTTGTTAGAAAATCTAATGAAGTTGCGAACCAGGGTGCAAAAATTGAAGTCGTATCCCGGAGCAGCATCTGTAGGGAGTCTTGTTACTGTGTGGCCACTTTGGTAGCCATTGCTTTCTCTGCGTTTGGGTTGCTTCTCAAACTGATCTAGCTTCTCTGCAGGCTCCGAAGTCTGTTCATGTATGTACATCTATGCATATAACTATTGTATGTACGCACAAAGCAAAAATTCTGAATGTGCCTCAGAAATTTAACAATCAAAGTATGTCGTGAAGCTTAATAGGAAGAGACAATGAATATGTGTGGTGGGAAAACCAGGTAACAATCGGGTATGATGATTAGTTTAGTACCTACGTCACCATATATTGTAGCGTTTGTTTGTGCAGTTTTGTAGGTGAGGGCGACTTCAAAGAAAGGTTTAAAAGGTGATACCATAAAAACATGTGGATTCAGTGCTGAGAGTTCCTCTTGTATGTATGGGGCATCACAACAGTAGTTAATGAAACTGTTTGAGGGTCTCATGGGCAAGGGAGGTTGGTATTGCTGGTAGAGTGGGGCTAGGGATTATCTACTGAAAGCCTGCGAGGAAGTTGTCAGCTGAGATGTAAATCTAGGTTGTTGGCCTGCGCTTGGTGTGATGGAGAAGCAGGCGTGAGTAGCTAGGTGACCTGGAGAAGATGTTGCAGTAGTATTTTGAATGGA